CATAAGGTAACAATCATTATTCATTATTGTCCAGATGCTGGCACATTGGATGATTGGTTTGGATTTTCACCACACACACACACACTTTTACTGTTTTACTGTCGTATCCATACGATGAGGGGAACTCTGTGCCACCACTTTCCAAAGAGAAAATTTACTCGTTTTTCAATCCGTACACTTTGCACAGCAGTCTGTCAAAAAGATTTTTTTGAGAAATACTGAAAGTTTCAAAGACATCTTCGCACTAGTCTTAGAAGTATTCTAAAATGTGAAGAATACAACCGCGGGGGTACAAAATGACCCCTAGGCGTACGGATAGGGTTAATATTATAGGTATTAGGTTGGGGGAAACGGTTCCTACGAGAGTGCATGTGTATGTTGTGTGAAGTGTCATTTTCATCACCACATCACCTAAATTCATGTTAAAATCATAGATGTTGCATCAAATTCAAAACTAAAATGCCCACTACAAAGTTGTAAAAACTGAAATGCAAACAGTTTAAACTGAAGAGTGAGTCCATAAATTCACAACTCCACAAAGAACATTTCCCTTGAAACCTCTCACTAACAGGGGGCAAGCCCCTCTGAAACCCCCAACTGATGTTATGGCTAGTGCGTATTAATACATGTAAACACGGTGGGTCTACCAACGGTAGATTTTTACTTATGCACCCATACACAGATGACAAGCGGATAGTTAGAGAACATGAGGAGTACGCCATTGGCTGATATTTATAAAAACAGCCATCTTGTTTGTATCATAAAATAGAGTTCTTCATTCTGACAAAAGACAAAAAAAGTTCCAGACCTACTGTCTCACTGTCTGATCTGAATAAAAAAAGTGGAGTAAAAAAACAAAGCTTTTTTTTTCATTTTAGCAAAGTGATGATAATGCTCATTATATAAATGTTAATATAAGTCAAACAAGATGGTTGTAGCTATAAATATCGGCCAATGGCGTACCCCTAACATTCTCTAACTATCCACTTTTGCTGCAGAAAACATGTATACATGGCCACTAAAACCCTCGCAAATCAATTGTTTTCAAGTAAATATCAATCCAAATTGCCAAGACATCATTGTGAAGTGCAGGGG